TCAGATGGGGCAGGGAGCTGCCCATCTACATCTGAGGCAGTGGATGAGGCTTGCTAAGAGAAGGGGGGCATAGCAGCTCCCTGCACCTCGGTATCATCTGGACCCAGGTCCCTTTGGCCTCTTCCTTCCTGGGGTCCCAGCTGCCGGCCCGTTCATCTGTGGAGGCCTGAGCTAGATGGGAGAATGGCCACAGCCAGCCCCTGACCTAGCCACAGGAGGCACCGACCCCTGGATCCCAGGGCACTAGCCCGTGCAGCCCAGCCTGAGCGCCATATGGTAGCGCCCAACCTGGCAGACCCAGAGGGCTCCTAACCCAACCTCTGCATGTTACAGGAGAGGAACCCAGAGTCATAGGACCACAGAACTGGGGTGTTATAAGGGCCCTGAGGAACCACCAGAGGCAGCTGATGGCACAGTGGGTAGAGAGCGCTGAGCCTGGAGCCAGGAAGCCCTGAGTTCAAATCTAGCCTCAGATCCTTCCTAGCTGTGTGCCCCTAGACAAGTCACTTAGCCTCTGTCTACCTTAGTTTCCTCCTCTGTAGAATGGGGATAATAGCATGTACCTCCCAGGGTAGTTGTGAGGATGAAATGAGATAATATTTGTGCTTAGCACAGTGCCTGGGACACAATAGGTGTTACATAATGCTCAATCCCTTCCACTTTCCTTCCCCCACCCCTCCCCACCCCCAGTACAATCCACACCCAAATGACATAAGTGGTCACCTGGTCTCTGCCCAAAGGCCTGGGTTTGAATCCTGACTGCTGTTACCTAGCTGTGACTCTGGGCAGGTCCTGGACGCTGAGGGCTTTGGCCTGGGGGATCTCCAAGGCTCCTGCCTCTTCTGGCTCCAGGGCTGTGACTGAGTTTGTGGCTTGGGTTGGGAGTGAGGATTCCAGCCAGCCTGAGCAGAGAAAACAGTCAGAAACTCTCATAGGGAGATGCCTGGCCGAGGCAGCAAGCGGAGGGCCACGGCTTCACCGTGCGGAAACAGCCAGCCTCCTCGTCTGGAGAGGGAGTGAGCATGTCCGCCATCTCTGTGAATCAGGGAAGGCTGCCCCAATTTGAGTGTCAGCCCCCCCATGTGCCAGGGGTCCTCCGAGGATGCCAGGCCCCCCACCTGCCCCCACCCCAGGGTCTCCTTGACCCAGAATGTTACAGAGAGATGGCTTTATTTGTGGCTTCAAGCTGAAGACATGTTTAGGGCCTTTTTCTCTGCGGAATCCACAATCCAAAGACTGGAAAGGTTGAGGCGGTCAGCTCCGGCTAAACAGGGGACTCCTGAAGACCCCTCTAGCCAGCACTGTGCCAGTGACCCTTTCTTCCTCCCTCTCGCCTTTCCCCCTCCTCTCCCCATCTCCTTTCTTCATTCCCTTCTTCACCCTCCCCTCCCCCCTTCCTTCTCCAGAAGACAAAGCAGGCAGAGTTAGAAGGCTCCTTATACATGGATCTGCTAGGCCTTGTTCTGCAAGGGAGGTCCAGGAAGCTCAAGAGACGTGGTGCGCTCACCAGCCAATGCCCCCGTCCCCTCCTCAGAGGCACTTCCCTTGACCTCGGATCGTCTGCATCTCCAGCTCTCCCTCACAGCTAGTCGACCCCCGCTCCACCCCTCTGACCTCTCCCCCTCGTCCCTCACTCGCATCTACTTCACAAAGGTCACATACAAGGACGAGCGGCCCGCAGGCTCTCAGCCATTGCTAGCCCAGGGCCCTGCATCAAGCTCTCTGAGCATCAGAACGGTGGGAGGTTCTGCCTCACTCCGAGCCTAGAGAGGACCAGGGGATCTCCTTCATGCTGATGCTAAGCACTAGAAGGGTCACTGGAGGGTCTCTCCCAGAGGCTGTCAAGGAGGGGAAGATCAAGAATGGCCAAGACTCGAGTCTCCTTCTGGGCCTCTTCTCCTTGGGCTCCGGCTTTCTCCCTCCTCTGACTCTCTCTGTCCCTGGGAGGCAGACACATTTAAGGGATTTTCCCACGTGGGACAGAAGCTCCCTGGACCCCACCATCCCCACAAGGCAGAGGGTGAGGGGGTGCCCGAGTCCAGCGGGGCTCAGCCTCATTCCTTGCCCAGAGGGCACCAGAGCTCACATCCACACTTCTTCCCTGACGTTCACAGCATCCCAGAACTGCAGAGATGAGGGGGACCTTGGTGGCCCTTGGCCAACCTTCAGACCAAAGGGACTCTTCCTTGGTGACCTTGAGCAAGGTGACCCCCACTTGTGCCCCTGTGAGAGGATGCCCCTCGGGACCTCTTCAACTCTCCAATCTATGCCCTCTGCTTTCTTCTCCTTCTTTGCCTCCGTCTTGTTGACAATCCCAGTTAGGGGACCTTGTGGGAAAATGGCTCCAGAGTCAGTCAGTCAGTCAATGAACATGTATTAAGGGCCTACTATGTGCCGGGCACTGTGCCTTATTAGCACTGGGATTATAAAGGGAACTTACAGACAGTCTATCCTCTCAAGGACCTCACAGCCAAACTGGGGAGACAATGTGGAAACAACTGTGTGCAAACAAGATATGGAGAGGAGAAGCTGTAGGTAATCGATCTAGAATTAAGGCGGATCAGGAAAGGCTTCCTACAGAGGGCAAGATTCTAGCTGGGACCTGTAAGAAGCCAGGAGGTGGAGTGCTCCAGGCATGGGGCACAGCCAGTGCAAAGACCTGGAGTCAGGAGATGGAGGGCATCACTGGATGGCCGAGTATGGGGAAATGTCAGGTATGAGAAGACTGGAAAGGATCCGAATGCCAAACAGAGGATGTTCTATTTGATCCCAGAGGTGACATCAGGGAGACAATGCCATGACATGCAAGTGAACTGGATTCCAGTGAGGCAGGGCTGTGCAAAGTCACCAGCCCCACTCTCCTCCGGAGCCGTGTGTGTCCCCTGGCCAGGTATCCCCCTCCCTAGCAGCCTTTAAAGGAAGGCTG